TTAGGATAGAGTATTAATGGATTTGAGGTAGCTAGGTGCCACAGTGGTTAGAGCACCACGCCTGGATTCAGGAAAACCTGAGTTCAAATCCAGCTTCAGACACTTTCTATCTATGTGACACTGGGCAAATCACTGACCCCCTATTTGCCTCAGATTCCTTATCTGTAAAATGGGGATAATAATAGCACCTACCTTACAGGGATGTTGTCAGGATTGAATGATAATGATCTTTGTGAAGTGCCTGGCACATAGTAAATGTTGTTTAAATGTTAGCTATCATTATTATTGTAATACTTAGCACAGTGCCTCGCACATAGTAAGCGCTATATAAAATTTTTTTGTTGTTCAGTTGTTTTAGTCATGTAAGACTCTTTGTGACCCCGTTTGGGGTTTTCTTGGCAAAGATACTGGAGTAGTTTGACATTTCCTTTTCCAGATTATTTTACATATAAAGAAACCAAGGCAAACAGGGTGAAGTCCAGAGTCATACAGCTACTAAGTGTCTGAAGTCATATTTGAACTCAAAAAGATGAGTCTTCCTAGCTGCCCATACAAATGTTAGTCATAATCATTATTATTATTATTATTTAAGTCAAAGTATTATGGTAGAAAGGTCATTGGACTTGGGAAGATCTGTGTTTGAATCACCTACTTATTAGTTGAGTGACCTTGGACAAGTCATTCAGCCACTCTGGACCTCAGTTTGGTCATCAAATAGGACCAACTCATTAGGGTTGTGCCAAATGTCAAATAGGATGGTGGTGCTTTGTAAACTTTAAAACAATAATTAGTGGCTAGCTGCAATTAAGTAAAAAGCTAACCACATTATTCTTATTGAGTTTTTTTAACCCACTCTAGGATACAGTATGTTTGGAGATATAACCCCCAAGGTCATACTCCATGGATATTATTATTAAAATGTAGCTACAGAGGAGAGGCAGAGCTCATCCTTTGGTTTGAAATATGTGTATTTTACTTACCCAAGGCTCTGCCTTCTGAATTATATAATACTTGAATTTCAGAACTAGGAATAGGAAGACAACTTTACCTGGCACAATACTGAGTTATAGTATATATTAAGTAAATATTTGTTGAACTCAATGAAGAAAGTCATTTCCTCCCTGTTTTCTTCCCTTCTCCAACCCCCAAGCTTGGAGCTCATAAGTGTTGGTGGGATCATAAGATTTTAGAGTTGGGGAGAAACAGTCTCATTTTACAAATGAGGACGTTAAGATGAAGACCGATTGATTAAGTGTCTCACTCAACATCACACCAGAAATAAGTAGCAAGAATTTAAATCTATGGCTTCTGACTCCAAATCTAATGCTCTCTCCCCTATACCATCACCCATTGTCATTTTCTCACCTCTACACAAAATTTTCCTTCAGCACAGTGATGATGCTGGTGATAACTACCATTTGACTGATCCAAAACCTTCCATAGACACCACACACACACACAAACACACACACACACAAACACACACACACACACACACACACACACACACACACTGCCCACAGAACTAAATGTAGCCTTGGCCTGGCAATACTTTTGTAATCTAGTCTCAGTCTACCTGTCCAATCTCCTCTCCTGCTCCTCCCTTCCTTAAACCTCCTAGTCTAGCCAAACTACATGTGTGGTTAAGCAAGAGTGGAAATTTTGGGTTTTTAAATTTTATTTCTTCTTTCCTCCATAAAGCCTGCTTTTATTGGCATCTGGCATCCTGAATTGAATGTCTATACGTGTGACATACACCAAATTCTTTCCTACCATCTCCTATGCAGAGATTTCTAACAGGCAGCAATCTCTTTAATCTCTAGTCTTTTCCTTCTTGAGATTTTATATTGGACTTTCGCTGCATCCAAACTAAGCTAAATTCAGTCCCTACCACACAGGCAAGTTTTGTCCTGAAAAATTTAAGCGTATCATTTGCCAAATATTCAGGAAATGCATATCATATTAGTTCCCATATTATCCCCTCTCATCTGTTTAGCTCCCAATACATATTTGGAACAAAATTTTGAAATGTGTCCCCTCTAAATTACTCTCTCCCTCCAGAATTAAGTTTTTTAAAAACATTTATCTGCTTTGAAATAAAAACCAGGTTGTCAACAGAGGTTTCTCTAAGCAGAACAAATGTTTGCTTGGGTATGAAAAAGTGTAAAGTAAAGGAGCTGCCAGATGTTTGTCGGTGGCTGGGATGAGCATGTTGGTCAGTACCCCTTCTCTGGGTCTGCCCAGTTGCATTTGATCCATCTCTCTCCAAATCTCTGTGCTGCTCTCCCACTTGCTCACCTGGTTTGAGAGTGACCTCACCTCCCCCATCCACAATGAACTTCAGTTCTTTAAAGGAAACCTGAGCTAGAGTTGTACCAAGTGTCTGTTCCTTCTTTTCTTTGGCTAAAACTTTGGCAAACTCCAAATGTAAAATTTGGAAGGAAAGGAATTCCTAAAGGCAAGTTCAATCATTTAGTAAATTCCCTTCCTTGCTCTCATATAAGTGTAAGCAATTTCATTTACAAGGTGTTTCGCTTGCTCTATCAGAACACTCATAGAAAACACAAACTTGCTGATGTTGAACGTCATGTGCTAGATTTCAATTAGCTGTGCTACCAACTGCTGTAAGTAAAAGTCTGGCTGAGTCAATGTTCCTAATTAAAGATAAAGATCTCAAAAATCAATGTAGGATGTGAAGGGTAGCTATGTGCCTGGACTCACATTTTGGATTGATTTCTCTCCATTTCACTGTATTAGGAGAAAGTGTGGAAAACTATGAAAGCAAATATGGCACCAATGTTTCTATTTGGACAAAAAGAAAGACACATCATTTGTAAATCCTCTGGAGATCTCTGGTACTTGCTATACTGGCATGATAGTTGATCTGGGAGCTGGCAAACTACCACCTGAGGACCAAATCCAGTCTGCGCCTACTTCTGTACAACCCATGAGTCAAAAATGTTTTTTACATTTTTGAATAAAATTTTATATTTTATTTGAATTTAATTTTTTTTTACATTTTAATATAAAACTAAAAAAAAAAAAACCTATTCTTAGCTCATAGGCTGAACATACAAAAATAAGACAGCCAGTCAGATTTGACCCTTGGGCTGTGTTTGCTGACTCCCTCCCCAGATCAAACTATAGTTTCTATAGGCCTAAAACACAAAATTTAAAAAAAAAGAGGCAATGGGGTATAATGGAAAGGAAACTAGATTTAAATATCAAAAGATCTGGGTTTGATTCCCAACTAGGATAGTAACTATATAACTCTGAGCAAGGCACTTTCTTTCTCTGGGTCTCATCTGTGAAATGGGGCTAATACTATTGCCTTCTTTGTAAGATTGTTGTAGGGGAGAAAAGAATTGTGTAAGTAAAAGCTGCCATAGAACATTATTTGCTCCAACACTGATTGATAGACAACTTTTCTTGGAAAAGAAAATATTTTTAAAAAATCATAATGGATTTGGGGCACAGGTATATACTTTTTGGGGAGGGTGACATAAAAGACACCAGAGTTTTCAGAAATTTTGGAAATAACATCTACCACTTTGCTAGAATAGACATTACCACTAAATTTTCCTCAGCAAGATTTAGAAAAACCTAAAACAGGCTTTAACAATCCTGCTACCTGAAGTGGAACAGAGTTTAGATAACAGTAGGTCCTTGACCTCAAGGAACTTACACTGCAGTAGAGAAGTTAGAGTCAAGTTCTCTAGCTTCAAATGAGCCTGTCTGGCACGCACTCTTTTAGGTTCATTCAGTTCTGTACAGTCAGGTGTTTTTATAAAGTCTTTCTGAAGATTTATCCTCTTCAAATACTCCATAGTCAGTCATTTAATACACATTTATTAAGTACCTATGGTGTGCCAGGTACTATGCTAAGGGCTGAGGATGCAAAGAGAAGTAAAAGACCTTCTCTACTGTCAAGGAACTCACAGTCTGATGGGAGACAGAACATGAAAGACAATTATGTACAAACTAGATATATACAGGATAAAAGGAAGATTATTGATGGAGGGAAAACACCATCAGTAAGGGGCACTAGGAAAGGCTTCTTGTAGGCAACCTGCAAATGGGCCAACCCTACTCTAGGAATAGCTTTGTTCTTTATTCTAGGGGTTGTCTTGAAGGAAGGCAATGAGGTCTCCATGATCTGGCTATTAATCTACATTTTTCACGCTTCAAGGATGTTTTATCAATTTGATAATAAGCCAGTTACTTAAGCCTGAATACCTAGCAGAAGAATACCTACCCTAATGAGAATTCATTCAAAGGACTCCTTCCTTACCTTTGCCTTAGAGTCCTTTTCTTCCTTTAAGATTCAGTTTAGGAGTAAGATTCTGCATGAAGCCTTTCCTAATTCTCACCACCATCTTTGCTGTGTCATCTTTCCCAGACTATCTTGTATTTTATATGTATATATATATAATATATGTATGTATATGTGTATATGAAATATGTGTGTTTGTATATAAATGCATACACATATACATACACCCATATGTATGTATATGGGTGTATGTATATATGTATGCATTTATATATTTATGTATATGTATATATACACATAAGTACATTTATATGTATACATATGTGTGCATATATATTTGTATTTATTAACCCTATGTTCTTTCTCTGTATTTTTATATGTACTCATTGCCTTTCCCATTACAACATAAGTTCACTGCAAGTAGAAATTTCTTCATTCTTTTTATTTGTAGCCACAGGGTCTAGTGCAGTTCGTCACATGACAGACGTTTGATAAATATTGGTTAATGGGTTGATCAATTGAGAGTGTTAGGTGATGGATGACCTGCAAAGTTTGAATAAGACATGGTCCCTGACATCATGGAACTTACAATATAGTAGAAGAATCAAATTCGCATCTGACACATACGAAGAGATGTAAGACCAATATGGGTGTGTGTGTGTGTGTGTGTGTGTGTGTTTGTGTGTGAGTACATTCAGCAAAGGGCTAGGCAAGCCCAGTCTCTTACCTCTTGCTCTGCATAAAAGAAAAGATCTTCATGGAGTTCTCCGTCTGTCAGAGCAATGATGACACTAGCAGTCCGGTAGCCTGCCAAATGCAAAGCGAATTCGTTCATTCAAACAGGCCTATACAAGATAAGCCCCTTTCCTTAGCACTAGGGATAAATGTATTGTTAGCTTAGCCACCAACATACCACATCATGGAACTTGAATGCTACCTAGAACAGAAATAGGAGAAAATGTGCTTTTCTTTTAAGTTCCCAGCCTCAAACTACTCTATAAAAGGTGTACTCTAATCATGGCATGAAGATGACCCTGTATTCTCAAAGACCCTAGGAAAGGAATATAAGCACTGAGAGGGCCTACCAATCCAGAAAAGCTTTGGCTACAGATCAGTCATTTGGAGACTAGCCTAGCGGAGTTGGGGAGAATCATCCCCAGAATTAGCCACTAGGTCACAAGTTTTTGTTCATAATAACTCAAGAAATGATCTCATGGAAAACATTCATGACATGGATGAGCTACAGGTCTGTAGAAGGAATACCTATATAGATAAGTATTGAGTGAAAGTTGAAAAAAGGCAAATCTAAGTTTAACATCAATAAAAATTTCCTAAGAATTAGCGCTGTCCAAAACTAGAATGGCCTGCCTGCAGACTGGACAGGGTGGGTTTCACCTTCCTTGGAAGTCTTCCTGAAAAGGTGGGTCACCACCTATCGGATACATTCTAGATGACTAATGAGGTCCCTTTCAGCTCTAACCAGTGGTCCCATGTAATGCTTTACACACAACAGTCCCATGAAGTTGGCAATGAAAACATTATTATCATCACCACTTTAGATATGAAGAAACTGAGGCTGAGAACCATGTAGTCACTTGTCCATGGTCACACAGCTAGGTTCAGCCCTTATGACTCCATGTCCAATATTGCTCCACTACCTTATGTTATTTTAATAAAGGGGGATCCCTAGCTAGAGCAGAGAACTCTGGAGAGAACTGGAATGCCCAGATATAAGAAAAGAGGAACTGTTAGGTGTCTTCAATTGGTTGAATTGGGCCCCGGGAGAGCAAGTGGACTGAGAAAACATTGTTTAAAAGAAGGGTAGAGTGGAGAGTCCAGCAATACCTCTGGAGATCAGGTCCAAAGCATGGGAGAGGCACATGCTGGAATGGTAAGTGGCCCCAGGAAATACTCTCTGTGAGATATTTGGGACTCAGAGTCACTATAACTACTTGGTGCGGAAAACATAAGTTCCTTTGGCTTTTCTTTCTTTTAGTAAAACCTTCTTTTAAGGTAAGTGGCCTAGCTGCAGATGGAGAAGTTGATATTAACCAGCTGCAGCAGGATTTTTTAACATTTTTTGGTGTCATGGACCCCTTTGGCAATTTGCTGAAGCCTGTGGATCTCTTCTCAAAATAAAGTTTTTAAATGCATAAAATAAAATACACGATGATAGAGGAAACCAATTATGATTAAATATGTATGTGTATATACACACATACATACATATGTAAAAAGAAGTCTGAGATTCCCAAGTTAAGAACCATTGTGGTAAAATGTCTAGTGAAGAGATTTCATCCCAGGTTTGTGAGGATCATGGCACCCCCTAAAATATAACTAAGACTTCTGATGCCACAGGTAGACCTGACACAAGGATCAATGTAGTAGTAGTAGTAGTAGTAGTAGTAGTAGTAGTAGTAGTAGTAGT